CTCCCAATGCTTATCATGGGATGAGGCATAGGCAAGTCTCCTGCTTTAAAACCCCCAATGGTGGGGAAGTTATTTGTCTACCTACATCTTACTTTTTCCAGTGTAGAAACTGAGTGAGGGAAAATTTTTCATGTGCTTGGTACCATGCAGCTTGAAGGAAAGGTGTCGCAGATATGAAACTTCAATTATTTCACTGTCTTCTGGAGTTTTTTGTTGTTGTTGTTTCTTCTCTGTGGCTCTAGGAATTGACTCATCTTCATATTTGAGTTCTGGGATATTGCTGGTGATAAAAATCTTGGTACTGTATTTGTTTTTGTTTTTCTGTGTAGGAAAGTGAAACCAGTTTGCATCTATGCTGCCATTTTAAAAACATTTGTCATTTTGAGTTGTGAGAATCTTATTCCAATATATTGTCCTAGTTTTATCCATTTTTAAACTCCTACCCTTGTGTTCTTCCCACTTGTCCTTAGTGGTAGAAAGTTGGTTTTCTTTTTTTTTTTTTTTTCAGTTGAAAAAGTACTTGATTTTTTGAAACAGTCAAATGACCTTCATATAAAGTCTAAGGAACAAGGCTGGTAATCAAGCTGACTGGTACCATATGCAGTCTAGAGTACAGTGTGATAGTTAAGTACCTAGAGACATTTCTTGCGTGTGTCATATAAGTACCTCCTCAAGCTCTTCAACATACTGCTCCAAGGCATTAGGTTGCAAATACAATTGCTTTGAAAACATATTGAATAAAATTCAGAGTTATAACTTTCTATCTAAAAGAGATTTGAGCAAGAAATCTTAGAAATAAGCTTGTATGGACCTAAAATGACTACCTTAAAAGGGACATCACTCATGTATGCATTCAAGTTCTCCTTTGTTAAAACAAAAGTGTCCCCTTGGTGGTTCAGCCTGTAATCCCAGCACTTTGGGAAGCCGAGGTGAGTGGATTGCCTGAGCCTGCAGGTTCAAGACCAGCCTGGGCAACTTGGCGAGACCTTGTCCCTACCATAGATCAAAAAATTAGCTGGGCATGGTAGCGCGCGTCTGTAGTTCCGGCTACTTGGAAGGCTGAGGCAGAAAGATCACCGGAGCCGGGCGTGTCGACGCTGGGGTGGCCATGAGCCTGCCACTGCACTCCAGCCTGAGCAACAGAATGAGACTCCACCTCAAAAAAAAAAAGTGTCCTCACTCTAAATCACATGATCACAAGGGCTTAGAGTATGAACTTGAGGGCTGAATTGCTTACCTCTAAGTATCAGCTCTGCTATTCTAGCTGTGTGTCCTGGGTACGTTCTAAACTTTCCTGTGCCTCAGTTTTCTATCTGTAAATTGGGGAGAAGGTATTTTAGTATTTTGAGGGTTATTGTGAAGTTTAAACAAGGTAATAACAACTGTCAAGCACTTCAAAGAATAACTTGAATATAATTTATTAAATGTATTTTAATCAATTTTAGGGTATATATTTTTCACATTTTAATACCTCTGAAATGAGGCTATATTGTACCATTAATATAATTTTTAATAAGAATTTCACCATCATTTAATTGGTGACATCTTTTTTATCAATAGTACTTAATGTTACCCCTTAGAGTAGGTGACATTTTAGATATCAATTACTAATAGTAGTAAGAGATCAATCAGTGTTAGCTATCATCATCATCATCATTATCTTGGTTCCAGCTGAGACTGTGACATGAAATTTTAGCAGCACTAGCCTAGAGTATATACCAAATCCCAGTTTCACCTAACTACTTGTTTTCTTTGGTGTGTTTTTAGAAAAGATGTAGTGAGCTGCTTTTCTTGTTTCATTTTAGCTAATGTAAAGTATTTATGGTATCAATTCATGCAATGTTTTCATATTTGCTGTTCCATACTTGGAGAGCTACTAAGATGTTCTTCAATATCCTCCAGTCTCCTGAAATAGAGAAGAAGACAAATTATTTATTTTCTCTATTGATATATTTTTCCTAAGTCCTTTCAAAGAAGTGCTTTTTTTCTTAGCTAGCAGAACTAAGCCACCATTGTACCACTTAAGATTTACTGGTTTTCTCTCTCCTCTAAGGGAGAAAAGAAGCAGTTTATTGATCTGTAACAGAGGAATGGACTATGGCCAGTCCTCTACTGGTTTATACAATGCACTGACAAGAATCTGCATATCATTGAGAAGAAGGGTCCTCACAATTTGAGGCCACCTGTCAAACTTGAACAATAACTGGGAAAATCAATACACAATATACAACTGTTCTCTTTTCACAGACAGTGCCAAGATCCACACGCAGTGACAGTGTCTTGTTATTTTACTAGTGATATGCTTGTAAGTCCTAAGTTTAGGCTTCCTTCTTATTTTGCTTTTACTGTTCAGTTTGGGGGAGGGTGAGAGAGAACAATTTGGATCTGAGATAAAGATCTTCTGCCAGGTAAAAGAGGTTCAATAACAGGAGAAAACCTTGGACCTTAAGCTTGACTAGGAAGATTCTGGGCACATCTTCATCCAAATACCTTGACACATACTTCACTCACCCATAGCACATGCAGCTTGTCTCTTCTTGTCTTGTTTGCCCTCAAGACTTTAAGTGGTGGTATTTACAAGCCATTATGAAGCAAGAGTACAAACACACAAGGGTAGCAAAGGGCCAGTATACAGGGCTTGGCTTAGGTTTTTGTTGTTAATTTTTTTTTTTTTTTGAGTTGGGAGTCTCACTCTGTCACCCAGGCTGAAGTGCAGAGGCATGCTCGTGGCCACCCCAGCATTGACCTGCTGGGCTCCAGGGATCCTTCCGCCTCAGCCTTCCAAGTAGCCAGAACTACAGGCGTGTGCTACCACACTAGGCTAATTTTTGATTTATTGTAGAGATGAGGTCTTGCCAAGTTGCCTGAGTTGGTCGCAAGCCCGCGGGCTCAGGCAATCCATTCACCTCAGTCTCCCAAAGTACTGGGATTACAGGCTGAGCCACCGAGTTTGACCTATTGTTAGCTTTTAAAAGTATAATTCATTGAATAAATCTAGAAGCTAGGCTTATGTTCTTTGTCCCTCCACCCCCATTTCCTCACTCATTTTTCTCTAGCCTTCCCAGTGCTCATATTTTTAAAAATAAAACTGATTCGGCAGACATTTATACACATTCACTCCTATTCTTAAAAGATAATGCTCACTCTATCCCTAATGACTGCCTTTTGATTATGCTAGCACTGACTGTGCACAGAAATTATTGCTTTCCAAGTTCAACGCCATGGGCCTGAACCAGTGCCTGTGTTTCCAACAGAAAGTCAAGTGATTGCCACTCAGTCAAAGAGATTGGAGCCATCCAGTCCTCCCGGTGTGCTGCCAGCTAGAAACTAGGGGTCAGCAGGGAGTGGAAGGTGTAGAATCTGGCCTGTCCAGGTGAACTGAGCATAGTTGCTATAGCTGGAAAAACTGCAAAGAGCATGCTTATCTGAAGCAGCCTGTAAAGGAGGTCCTTTTGAACTTGTACTGAGTTGCTTTCACAGTCATTAGCTTTGAACTGTGGTATAAGCCCATTTAAACAATGAAGAAAATTTCACTAGCTGAATAGCAAGAAATTCTCATCCTGTGTGATCAAAGCATTCAGTCATTTCCTTTTCCTTCCTTTTTATTTACTTGTATTTCTGACCCCTTATAATCTCCATGAATGTAGCCTGATAGTTTCCTTTTGCATAACATTTTAAAATTTCTTTTCCTTTCCCTAATGGCTTTAAAGCAAATAAAACCAAAATTGACAGGATGTGAATATTTATTTTCAATAATTATCATTACAAAAGTAAAAAAAGAGCTAAAATCATCCATGATTTCATTACCCAGGGAAACCACAGCAATTATTTTGGTGTTTTTACTTCTAATTGTTTAAATTAAATGTATAACTATGCACATACATATTTTTAACAAAATCGGGTTTAAGATAGTATAGTTTTGTTTTTCTTTTGAACAACATGCTTTTAGTATTTTACAGTATAATTGAAAACTCTTACATGATTTCCATGCCTACATTAGAATACAGTATATAGCATTCTCCTCTTATTAGGAGGTCATGTGGATTTCTGAGCTGACACTTTAATCCGCAGCTTAGAATTAGTCTAGTTCAATGTCTTCTGATTTCATGGGTCTGAAGTTAGAATCCTGACACAACAGAAATGGAATATTTGTATATGTTCCATTGTTTGCTGTGTTTTGCCAGTATTTTTCAGAAGGTATTTGCAAAAAGCAAGAGTGGGAGCAGTTTTTTTTTTTTCTGTTCTTTTTTTTCTGGTTTCTTTTTTATTTAAATTTTGTGACTGTTGCATAAGTCTTATTGTAGTAATCTTGGGTAACTTTTAAATAGAAAATAAATGTAAAATAAGAAATATACTGCCCAACATGAACCCTAATATGTGTACCATACTATGTCATTTGAAATTGATCCCACAGGATGGTGGGAGACACTGAGAGGAGAACTGACTGAGTCAGATTTGTGTTTTAGAAAGGTGATTGCATGGAAGAACAGCAGCGTTGGTAGACTTGAGATAGCTCAAAAGAATTTCCATGAAGTTAGTCTTTTTTAAGACATATGAACTTTTGGTGTAAGAATTGCTTTGAAATTTCAGTTGACTAAATGAAGCTTTTGGACCAACAAACATTTGGAAAGCAGGATAAGCTTAAAAAACAAAAATTGTTTGTAGAGTGCTACAGAATGGTACATATTAGGAGGTCATTTGTATTTGAAGATCACCTTCCTAAAAATAGTCATGTTTCTGGAAAACCAATTTTGTTTTCCATAGAGTCTTACGTTTAGAGACCTTCTTTCAGTGCCCATCCACTGGCGCCTCCATGGGTATTCTCGCTCTCCAAATAAAATGGTCAGGTCCAGTGCAGTCACCACCTGGATCCACAGTAGCTCTCCCCCATTCCATTTTGCTTCATCCATTAGCAGTCATCTTTGTAAACAGAAGTCTATAATTTAGTGTTGTGCATATTTTTATGAATCATTTTGATGGGGCTTTCATTACTATTTCAGGTTAAATGTGTTTGGAAACTTGATGCATAAAATTTGCATGACTCCTCACTCCTTTTTGGATCTGTCATTGGATTCAATCCAACATGGCTCACACCACAAAGGTCAACGGCAGTGCCTCAGGTAACTGTACTCTGGAGGGAGTGTGTGTGTGTGTGTGTGTCTGTGTGTGTGTGTTTGTGTGTGAGAGAGAGAAATGTATGTCTTTGCTCAAACTAATGTTTTTATTTCTCTTTTAAGAATGGATAGATAATAGCAAGTTACCTAGATAACTAGGATTTCAAAGCAATCTTCTATCCATTGAAGTTTTGTTGGTTTTGTTTTGTTTTTTTTAACTCTCTCAGAAAATTTGCTTTTATCTTAAGTCTTTATGTACTGAAATAAGTTAGGTAAATTATGACCTGAGTCAATTCTATTGAAGTGTTGAAAGATAAATGTAAACTCCTGAATGCTGATGCAAGTATAACGTGTATTCCTCCTGTACTTCTTTCTGAAGGATTGGATGAGGAGAGAGAAAATGAGTTTGGACGCTTAAAACTAATTCCTGGTATCTACTTCCAGCAGCTTTTGTTTGATGTTGCTAAAACAAAGAGGAAGGGAGGAAGAGAAGGGTATATTCTGTAAAGAGCTTCTCCTAGAGAGGAACATGCAACAAGCCATGTTACAAATCCTAAAGGCCTGTATTCCAATTCTTACAGAGTTTGAGTATCTATTCCAATATTGCATGTGTAAGATTTGGGGGAAAAAATGCAGAAAAAAATCCTCCTAAGAGATCATGGCACATGGCCATAGGTGACAACCTGTCAAAAACGGCATGCTAAGAATTTGTTCCTTGTGTGAGTTATCAGCTAAATAGCCAAATGAGTGAGAGGGTAATCATCTATGTGGTCATTTTTTCTGAGCGTCTGAGTCCAGGGTCCTAGCTCTGCCAGCTCTCAACACTCTCAAATGGCAACATTATATACCGGCAGGAGTGTGGAATTGGAGCCAGGAAGCCTGAATTAGAGTCCTAGTTGCAGCAATCACTGTGAAGTATTGGGCAGGGCTATTCCTCCACATGTAAAATATTGGTAAATATGTTTACCTGCAGGTTTTAGACCAATAAAAGCACAAGAAACATACATACAGGTGCTGCGTAAAGTTAAAGCACTTTAAAAGACAACAGCAGGAGAAGGAGACTTCTGAAGTGGGCATTCCCAACCCACATAGATGCCTTTTTATTCTAGCAATTTCAGCTGCTGGTATCCTTTGGCAAGAACACCATAGCTTGTCCAAACCCAGACCCAAATAAATTCAGTTGTTTATTCCAGGACAGCTGATCATTCCCTGTTCATTCTTTTTTTCTTTTCTTTTTATTTTTGTGAGTTGGGGTCTCACTCTGTTGCCCAGGCTGGAGTGTAAGGTCATGATCACGGATCACCACAGCTTCAACCTCCTGGGCTCAGGTGATCCTCCTGCCTCAGCCTCCCAAGTAGTAGCTGGGACTACAGGCATATGCCCAACTGATTTCTTGATTCTTTTATTTTTTTTTGTGGTGGTGAGGTCTCATTACATTGCCCAGACTGGTCTCAAACTCCTGGGATCAAGCAGTCATCCCACTTTAACCTTCCAAAGTATTGGGATTATAGGCATGAGCCACTGTGCCCGGCCACCTGTCCCTTCTTTTGACTGAACTTTCTACTGCCCAACTTCTTGGAACTTTTGTAGATTCTGTGCCTGGACTACTGGATACAAATAAAAATGACAATATCTAACACTCATTGAACACTTACTGTGCACCATAGTGCCTAAAATGCTTTGCCTGCATTATCATACTTAGTTCTTTCAATAATCGCAGTAATTTCATGAGATTATGCTGTCATTATCATCATCATCACCCCCATGTGATAGCACAGAGAAGTTCAGTGACTTACCTTAATGAGGTAAGAAAAATTGGGAATATTAATTGTTTTTCTAGTAAAATATTTGATAAGGGAGGTGATTGAGACGTGAAATTTCAACTATAGTGATGGGTTTCGATTCCCCCCCTTCCCCACTGATGCTGTGGTTTTCCTTCCTTCCCCTCCACCTGCTTCCACTCACACTCTGGGGAAGGGGTGCTTGAGGTGGTTGGTACCCTGGGACCTTAACCCTCTGATGTCTCAGGCAAAATCCTGTTTTCAGGGGTTTAGATATTTACTCCATTTATTCCTAATTCCTTTTCCAACTTGGCTTGTCCTGGACTCCCCCCCTCCCGCTTTTTTTGTTTATTGTTCCTGAGGTCTAATAATCAAGCTATAACTTGTCTTCCTCATCTGGTGTTTTGCCTAACAGATCTGGTCACTGAGTTGGAAAGGAAAGGAAAGCTCTCTCATTTGTGACTGCTAGGGTGTCACGATGTGAATTGTTACTGCAGATAAGTGTATGGAATGGGCAGGGGAAGGTTTTTGCTTACTCTGGTCACCATGACCCCTGTAAGCCTATAAGCAAGTCTAATTGGAGGCTCAATCATAAACAGTTATACACATACATACATGTACATCTATAGTCATACACATATATATACATGTATATACATAAAGTGTGTGTATCATATATATGATGTTCATATGTAAAAATATATTTATAAATTTAAAAATATAGAGGTGTGAGCCAGGCACAGTGGCTCAGACCTATAATCCCAGCACTTTGGAAGACTGAGACAAGAGAATTGTCTTAGCCCAGGAGTTCAAGATAAGCCTGGACAACATGGCAAGATGTCATCTCTACAATACATTTTTAAAAAGTAGCCAGGGTGGTAGCTGTGCGTGGAAGGCTAAGGCAAAAGGATCTCCCGAACCCAATAAGTCAAACCTGCAATAGCGGTGATGGAATACTACTACACTCCATCCTGGGTGACAGAGTGAGACTCCAACTCACACACACACACACACACACACACACACACACACACACACACAAAACACAAAAATCTTCCCAAAATATAGAAGTGTTATATTGCCTGAAAAAATAAAGTAAGAATTACTGGTAATATTAACACCTACAAATAAATGTCTTGCTAGTTTTCATATTGTCTTTAAATTTTGTATATTTGACATGGTTGAGAACATGCTTATAAAAACCATCCTTTGCCTTTTCTTTTTTTTATGAATCTTTTTATTTTTATTTTAAAGATGTGGGGTACAATTCAGGATTATGTATACAAGTGGTCATCATATAGGTAAAGTTTGGGCCACCCTTTGGTCCCCGCTTTGCCTTGTTTGAGATCAGGTACCCCTATTAATGTTGTGTGTCCCACCCCCAAGCCACCCTGGCAGTATCCCGCTACTGCCAATCGCTTTCTTATAATATTATGGTAAATGTTCAGGGTCCACTTATGTGTGAGAACATTTGGTCCTCTGTTCTTTGTTTCTGTGATAGATCACTGAATGATAGACTCTAAATCCATCCAAGTTGCTGCAAAGTCCATATGTTTGTCCTTCTTTATGGCTGCATAATATTCTATGTGTATATGTACCACTTTTTTTTTTTATCCAGTCCAGTTTTGATGGGCAGCACAGTTGGTTCCATGTTTTTGCTATTGTGAATAGTGCTGCAATAAATATGTGTGTAAAGGTATCTTATTTTGTAGAATGATTTGAGTTCCTCTGGGTATATTCCCAGTAGGGGGATTGCTGAGTCATATGAAAGGTCAGTGTCTAGTTCTTTTAGAAATTGCCAGCCGGGCTCGGTGGCTCAGCCTGTAATCCCATGCTTGGGAGGCTGAGGTGAGTGGATTGTCTGAGCCCGTGGGTTCAAGACCCGCCCGGGCAACTTGGCGAGACCTCATCTCTACAATAAATCAAAAAATTAGCCAGGAGTGTAGTTCCAGCTACTTGGAAGGCTGAGGCGGAAGGATCGCCGGAGCCCAGCAGGTCGAGTTTGCAGTGCCCAGGAGCAGCTACTGCACTCCAGTCTGGGCAACAGAGTGAGACTCCAACTCAAAAAAAAGAAGAAAAAAAAAGAAAAGATATTGCCACATTGTTTTCCAAAAAGGTTGCTCGTTTGCCTTTTCCCACTTTGTATTATGAAATGAATACCTGCCCATTTTTTAAAAAAAAATAGTTGATGTGAAAGTATATGATGGTTATAAATGTACTGTTTGGCTATGTAAGTGACATAAAAACATATACAGACCTCAGATGAAGAAGAGATACACACAGGGCTCTGTGCAGCTCATGAGCGCCAATTGCTGGTCTTTCCTATGAGAAAAATATAAATTATTTGGGTTGTTTAGTAGAAGCTTTAAATGTGGTGTAAATTATATATTTTTTTCCTTTTCCAAAGATAAAGTATAATATTACATATAGTCTAAAATAATATTTCCCCTGTGCCCAAGAGGAGTCTCTCTCATCTTGCCCCTGAAAATTGCTGCCTTGGTCTCCATAGAACATGAAGAAAAATCTCATGTGAAGGTAGAGTTAGGGCAGTGCCAAGACACATGCGTTCAATGGTCTTAGGAATAAGCAGAAGCAAAAGAGGAGCAAACTATGCCCTCCGCTGCAAAATACGTTTGTTGACTGATAGCTCATGTTGATGTCCCTGTTTAGAGTTTAAACTGGGTAAGGAACAAGTCACAACCCTTTTTAAAAAACTAATTAATTATTATCATTTTTAGTTTTATTTTAAATATGTGGGGTGCGATTCAGACTTAGGTGTACAAAGGTTCATTATGAGGTACCCTTGTTGATAAGGCGTACTCCTCCCCCTCCCCCCCGCCGGCAGTTTCCCACTACTGCCAATCCCACCCCCGCCCCACCCTTCCCTGGCAGTTTCCCCCTACTGCCAATTCCTTTCTTACAGTATTAGGATAGTTGTTCAAGGTCCGTTTATGAATAAGAACATGTGATACTCGGTTCTTTGTTTCTGTGATAGATCACTCAGTATTATAGCCTCTAAGTCCATCCAAATTGCTGCAAAGTTCATAATTTTGTCCTTCTTTATGGCTGCGTAATATTCCATCATGTATAGGTACTACATTCTTAAGAAATCTAGTACACAACCCTTTTATACTCAGGCATCTCCATGGAGTCCTTCGCTAATGCTGTAATTTATAAAACTTATCATGCTACATTTCGGACATAAAAATGTGTGTAGGTTATACA